CCTGCTTGGCGTCTGCTCTTTTCCTGTCTCTGTGTCCTGAGTTCTCTTTACTCTGCAAACACCGAGGGGCGGGGCGGGGAGGGGGAGGGGGAGTTAGGGGGAGGGGGAGGGGCGGGGAGGGGCGGGGAGCCCACACACCCCTACACCCCTCCCCTGCATCGCCCAGCCTAGGCCTTCCTCTCTGAACGGCCAGGTGCTCCCTGTTCTCTGGCTTCTGGGTTGTCTGAGGTGGGGGAGGAGAGATGGAGTGGTCCTTCGGCTTTGTAAGGCAGGGCAGGGAGTGTACAGCCAGGAAGCCGCAGACAAAGACCAGACACAGAAGGCTTCTCCTTTCAGTTTATCTTTTTCTTTCTTCCTGGGCTGGGCTCTCCCTGGAAGTGCTTTATGCAGTGTCTAAGCTGTGACACCCACCCATCTTCTCCTTCCTCTTGTTCCAGAGGCCCCTGCCCAGACATCGTCCCTGTAACCTGGGAGGGGCAGAGCCCACTCACTCAGGACACACTCTCCGTGTATCCACAGCTCACTTGTTGACCGATGGGCCTCGTTTTAATAACCTCATACTGGTCTTCAAATATGCTTTCCTTGGGTCTTGGAACTGGGGCTTGAACTCAGGGTCTGGGCTCTGTCCCCTACCACTCAAGGCTGATGCTCTATCACTTGAGCCACAATTCTGCTAGGCTGGCTGTGAACCATGATCCTCAGATCCAGACTCCTGAGAAGCTGGGGTTTCGGGTGTACGCCACTGGTGCCTGGCTTTCCAGTGTGCATTCGTAATCTGTTTACTTGTTCTAACAGGATATCATAGCTTCAAATTTTACTTTGGTTCATTAAAAAACCGTTGGCTATTTTAAGCATACACTTGGGGGAATATTGAACTAAAATAATTTTTCTAAGATTTTTGGGAATAATTTTAACGGGCTGGGAAGGTGGCTCAGTGGTAGAGCGCTTGCCCTGCGTGCATAAGGCCCTGGGCCTCAGCACCATTTGAACAGAAAAAGCTGGAAGTGTTGCTGTGGCTCAAGTGGTGGAGCACTAGCTTTGAGCTGACCAAAAAAAAAAGGGGAGGCTGGGAAGGTGGCTCAGTGGTAGAGCGCTTGCCCTGCGTGCCTGAGGCCCTGGGTTCGATTCCTCAGCACCACATAAACAAAAAGAAAAAAGCCGGAAGTGGCGCTGTGGCTCAAGTGGTAGAGCGCTAGCCTTGAGCTGAAGAGCACAAGGACAGCGCCCAGACCCAGAGTTCAGGCCCACGACTGGACCAAAAACAAAAAGGTGGCACTTTTCAGGCACATTTGATGATCAGGTTGGCCCTCCCGGGATACCCACACTCACCTTGAGAATCATCTGTCCAGCAGGCATCCTTGTACCAGTCCCTGCCCTGTAACAGGAGGACGGGCTTCAGCGGCAGGCTGGAGGGCCAGTGCTGCTCCCGGCGGCCGTGCACACCGGTGGGGGAGGGGCTGCCCCGCTGGTCTGGGGTCTTGAGGCAGCAGGGCCCCCTGGGAGCAGGGGGGTCACTTTTGGAATTAACACAGAAGGTGGGGTCTCGTCTTCAAAATTTGTAGGGATGATTGGAGGGTAGTCTGGCTTTTAAATCATTCATAAAGGTAGCTCATTGTCAGTCCTATTTGAAGGGAAACGGGTCTCGTGGGTGATGCCAGTGCTTAGGTCCTTGCTTTCCTGGGAACCACGGACAGGGGACCAGTCCACAGCACCGGACACCATTGGGCCGGCCCTGGAAGTGCCCGAGCTGTGGGAGAGGCAGGAACACTAGGCGCTGTCCCAGAATAAGGGAAGCAAAGGCACTGGGGCAGACAACGCCCCAGGTGCCAGCACGTGCCCCTGAACCAACCCGAAGGAAAACCTGGGTGGGGGGGGGCGCTAGCTTTAGTACAGACACCCCTAGGTCCAGACCTGCGCTCTATGGAAGCGCGTTGTTTTGTGGTGGTGTCTGTGCTATGGCGGGCGGGAGGATTTCTGTCACTCAGGGGACAGCTGCCTCACAAAGCATGGTCAGACTCACACTTCTATCAGCCTGGGATGGAGAGGAACAATAAACGCCACACGGGTAGAAGCATCACTCCAAGAAAGTAGGGCCTGGTCAGCTCAGGGTCCAAGTACTCAGAGAGGGAAGTCATTGACTCCGGTGTACCTGGGGCTTGGGGTCAAACACTCCGATATGCCTCAAGGTTCCCGTCGAACACAGCCATGGAAACAAAGACAAGTAAATTTGCTGTAGGGGTGGGGTAGGGAGGGAGGGGAGAGGGAATTGGGGCCCCAGGTGGCATTTCCAGGCTCCATTGAAGATCCAGACACAGCGAGAGATCGTTCGTGCTACAAACGTGGCAACACCTTTTTATTCAGAGTAAGATGTGTTCACATCAGCATGACAAAGTTTGTACAAAGTTCACAATTTAAAAATGAAGTATCACAGGAACTTGTGATTTCACACATTTATAGCAAAATTAAAGTGTCAACAAACCCATGCCGTGTAGTACAAAAATAAATCAAACTTCAGTTCCACAGAGAGCACAATAAATAGTTTATACAAAATTCTGTCTTAATAAATGATTACTTAAATTAACTTAGAAATGAATATGAACAATAAGTTATAATAAATAAGCTCTGATGAGTCACGATAACCCCGTGTGGAAGTCAGCATTCTAACATGTGACACTTGGTGATCCCTATATAATATCACAGATAACTTTTGATTTGATAGCATGTCCCAACGTTACATGAGCAGCAGATTTGTGCTTAGAGTCCCTTTCCATTGTACATAGGTGATAACGATAAGAATCCAAACTGATACTACCTATTACTCTACTAAAAGCGTTACTACATCGGCCAGGAAGCTGCAGAGGAGACCAGTGGGAAGTGCATGTGCTAGTGTGAACAAGGTCCTGGGGAGAGGCGGGGCCGCCGGCCGGCCGAGGCCGCCCCCGCAGTATGGCCTCAGGTGTCGGGAAGCACCTTGCTTCGGCTCTCAGAAAAGGCAATTCCGAGCACGGCAGCTACGACTAATCGCACAACAGAAAGGGGGCGCTGTACAGACAAGGTCCTGCAGAGCCCCAAAGTAATTACATAATCCTTTTTTGTTTTTTGTTTTCCCCCCCAGCTAGTTATTAAAGTCCTCGTGGAAAACTGTAAGCTTTTGTACACTGAACAGTATAAAGTGCCGCTGGGGTATTCATATATTTATACATATATATATATTTATATATTATACCGAGGTCGAGTATTGTATCAGAATGTTTGTCGTGAGATCCCTGTAGTCTCCCTTAGCCACTGTGTGGGTCAGCCGTGAGGGCCTCCGCCATGCTTCGTCCAGCTTCAGTGTGGAGAGGCGACTGACTCGGGGGTGCACACCTCTGTGCGGGTGGAGAGGACAGGGAAGTGCAAATCGCCAACTGGCACATCGTGGGGCAATGACCCTGTAAGTCCTGTTCTGCTAAAAATAGTTTTATATTTTACAAAACCCATCTTTTATTTCATAACAAAATCTCGAAGTACTTCCGTACTTCCTGCATAACATCAGACATGGAAGGGAGGGGGCGCTTCTAAAAGGAAACACAGGAGACACAACACGGAGTCGAAGGACCACTACTCAGGAGGGGACGCGGCAGTCAAAAGTGGTCTTATGCATACATATAGTGCAGTCGTTTGGAATAAAACAATCAAATCTTGAAGGTATAAATAAGTCTAAGATGATCTAGTTTAAAGCAAAAAAGTGCCGAAGTATATTTCATTAACTTTTAATAATCTGATTGCATTCATTCTTAGAGTAGGTCTCGATCAACCCCACAGGCTATGCAAATGCTACGTAGTAGGTCCTTTCCAAGTGCTCTGAGCGGGACCCAAGGCTAGTTCAAAGTCAGTGCCAGGCGGGGTGGGGCGGAAACCTGTACCCACCCCAGCCCTGTCCAGCAGAGAATTCTGTCCAGCGACCAGAACACTCACAGCCAGTAGCCTTTACCCCTCAACATAGGAAGCAAGAGTAACAAGAGTGGGTTTTTTTTTTAAGTGAAAAGGGGAAATAAATGCTCTTAAATGCTCTTTTCGCTCAAATCAGAAACGCTCAGCTCCTGAGAGGTGAGGTGCGGGTGCAGAGGGGCAGCAGCGGTGCTGGGAGAGGAAGGAGCAAGGGAAATCTTCGTGTTGTCCACCTCTGACACGGGCCTGTCTTATGGAGGGTCCATCATCACACCATGTAATGCTTAGGAGTTAATTAAAAGTGCTGTGTAAGCTGCTTTGAATCTTCTGCCAAGTTTCCATGGTTTGATGTTGTCTTACAATAAATTACTTTATTTCTTACAGTTAATCCATTTCCTTGGAATGCAAAAAAACCTCACTTTTACAGTCCCCACCACACACCATCCTCCTAAAACAAACAAACAAAAAAGTCACATAATATTTCCAGGCATTGTTCAAAAATAAAGCATTTCTGCAACCAATTCTTCGCTATGAAACAATATGCACACAAAAGGTATTTCTTTAATTCCATAAAGTCCTCCAACATGAGGAAAATGGTCATCTAAAAAGTGGCCAGGGCCACAGCATGGTCAGACAAAGCTGTGTGTGTGTGTATGTGTGTGTGTGTGTTTCTTTTTCTTTTTTTGTCCATTTCAGTTCAAAATACTAAAACGTTTAATCACTAAAGCATTAAAAAGAATTTACACTCTATCCATTTTTCATCAGCTTACCTCTTCAGAAATATATATAGATATAGATATATATACCCCCCATGTGCATACAGGAGCATCTATAAACATCACATGATATGTCACACGATGTCAGCTCATATGAAAACGTACAAAATGTGAATGTATTCAAAAACTATTCTGCAGGTACTATCTTTAAAGCAAGACATAAACCATTATGAAGTCTTGTAAGCATCACACTGTTCCAACAGAGATAAATAGATAACACTTTCTGGTTAAGTACAGCAGCAAAAAACAAGAGGCATCCTTTTTAAGCAGGAGAGTCAGCGTTAGAGCCGCTGTTCACACCTGAATTCCTCTCACAGCCTGCTTTACATTTTCCAGTAGGGCTTTATTTTCTGGACTCTGATAACGATCTTGATTTGTATACATTTCCGTCAAAGTAGTCACGTAAGCATCAAAATTTTGTTCATTGATTGGATCCTACGAGATATTAAATAGTAGTTCATATACAACTTTTACTTCCGGAATATTCACAAAAGCATCAAACAGTATCACAGCATAGAGCCGGGGCGGAGCACCGACTGGCGGGACAGCGCACGCTTAGCTTTATGGAAGCCCCACCGATGTGTCTAGCGGTTAATGTTATGGCTTGGGGGAGGTGACCAAAAACATCCAAAGGTCGAAGAACCATGGGGTAATGATTAAAAAAAAAAAGAGAGAGATCTACGTTATGAGGCGGTGAGGAGGACGGTGCGTCCGTCCTGCAGGCTCAGTCACTTACCATGTGTGGGAGCTGGATGTTAGCCAGGCTGTGGATCAGGGACTGGCTCAGGCTGGCCAGCTCGTGCAGGAGGGACTCGTTCTGCTGCTCGATGACCTTGTTCTCCTCTTCGATCGTCTTCAGGTTGCTCTCCATGGTGGTGATCTGAAACACACAAGTGCACGGGGCATGTAACAGGAGGCCGGGCTGAGCGTGCGCTCCCGCAGCGATTGTGGGATGGGTGTGCTTGGGGCCCAAAGGTGCAGGGGGCGGGCCCTGCGTGGCCCGCGGAGCCCCGGGACCCCCCCCCCGCGCGAGGTCTGGGCTTTGGGTTCTCGCTCTGTGCCTTTGGGAGTGGCCGCGTCCCGGGGGCTCCGGTGGCCCTGCTGTCTGCTGGCTTCGGGGACGGCGTCAGTTCTGGGCTACACTACTCATTCTTCGCAGGCTGACCCAACTCCCGCTTGGTCAAGTCCTCTCTGCCTCCGTTCCTCAGTGAGGTGTTGGCTCTGAGGGGTGCCAGGTGCCACACCTGTGCCCTGACCCAGCCGGCCCTGCGCCTGCACCTCCCCGGAAGTCCCAGGGGCACTGTCCTGGGCACAGGCTCTGTGTCTCCATACCAGCGCTGACAGAGGCGACTCGTGCTCTTCTAGAGAGAAGGCCACCTCACGTGGATCTGATTTCCAAGCCTGGGTATCACGTAGGGAAGGGGCAGGGCCTCAGGGTCCTGTCTCTCAGGGAGAGACAGAGCAGAGGGCAGGAGCGGCGCTCCCCACATGTGCCCCCGAGGGCCCTGCCTGCTGACGGGCCACACCAGGGGTCCAGAGCCCCATTTCCCCCGCCCCCACCTCCCAGTGCCCAGGGACCCACGGCCTCCAGGGGGTGGCCTTCAAGCCTCTGCATGCCTCCACCCTGCTCCTCTCTGCGTCTGGTCCTGGCCAGTCTCCAGTCCTTCATTCACAGTCCAGGCTGCCCACTGCAGGGAAAGGGCCTCAAGAGAGACCCGAACCGCAGACCCCGCCCGGCCCCTCTGCCAGCACCCACAGCACTCGGTCACCTTCTCCTCCTGGCCTGTGTCCTCCGCTCCAGGGACTGGTCCCTCCAAGGAGGTCAAGGAGCTCAACCCGTCCCAGGGCCGCACTGAGCCCCACACCCAGCTGGGTGCTCCGTGCACTGACCCAGGACCTGCCACCTGCTCTCTGCTCTAGGTAGTGCAAATGTCCTGTGCTTCACTCGGCAGGGGGGGAATTCCCAGAGACCAGTGAGCATCAGGCCAAGGTTACGAAGGCCTCTTGTGTGTGTGTTTGTGGCCAAGGGCGCTGAGCCCAGCCTGGCATCTGGAAGTGGCGGGGTCAGTGCCGGACACCACACCTCCCTTCCCAGAACAGTCTCAGTCTCTGACTATAAGCTAGCGGCATCATCTGCAGACTCAGTCCCCTGCCTGAAGCCTTGCCAGGACGGACTCCTCAGGAGCTGTCAGCCTGTGCTTTCCTGGGCTAGGCAGACAAACGGGCTGTTTAAGCAGGAGCCTCCTGTGGATGTGTGCGGCTTGTAGGGAGCACTCAGGACTCGCCTAGAGACGTGCCGGAGGGCACGCCCCTCCTGAGACAGGCCTGGGGCGGGGCTGCTGCCCAGAGCCACCTTGGCCCTCCGGGAAGAGGGATGCTGGCTCCTGGCCCTAGCGTTCATGCCCGCAGGAATCTGAGTTCTGAGGACCGCCTGGTCCCCTGTGGCAAGGACAGGAGCCCCTGGGACGGGCGGCTGGCACGTGGGAGCCCCAGGACGGGCCGCTGGCACAGGGGAGCCCCGGGACGGGCTGCTGGCACAGGGAGCCCCGGGACGGGCCGCTGGCACGCGGGAGCCCCGGGGACAGGACGCTCACACACGGGAGCCCCGGGACGGACCACTGGCACAGGGGAGCCCCGGGACAGGATGTTCACACACGGGAGCCCCGGGACGGACCACTGGCACAGGGGAGCCCCGGGACGGGCCGCTGGCACAGGGGAGCCCCGGGACAGGATGTTCACACACGGGAGCCCCGGGACGGGCCACTGGCACAGGGGAGCCCCGGGACGGGCCACTGGCACAGGGAGCCCCGGGACGGGCCACTGGCACAGGGAGCCCCGGGACGGGCCGCTGGCACGCGGGAGCCCCCGGGACGGGATGCTCACACACGGGAGCCCCGGGACGGGCCGCTGGCACAGGGGAGCCCTGGGACGGGCCGCTGGCACAGGGGAGCCCCGGGACGGGCCACTGGCACAGGGGAGCCCCGGGACGGGCCACTGGCACAGGGAGCCCCGGGACGGGCCGCTGGCACGCGGGAGCCCCCGGGACGGGATGCTCACACACGGGAGCCCCGGGACGGGCCGCTGGCACAGGGGAGCCCCGGGATGGGCCGCTGGCACACGGTTCCTCCTGAGGAGCCCTCCGTGCTTGCCACAGCCAGCCGTGCGTCCAGGCCAGGACTGGGCGTTTGCTGTGTGTCCTGCACCATCTCCCTCTGGCGTGAATGTCTGGCGAGGAGTTGCTAAAGGTCAAACTCGGCCTGAGCTGGGCTTTGAAGGCTATGACTGGCGTCGCTTCTTTGGATGGCTAGAGGAATGACAGACCACGTGTGGTAATTCTACCGAGAGCCAAGGCCAGGACGTGGAGGTCTGAGGACAGACAGTTCGGGAATAAAGAAATTCTGGGGTCTCCATGTCAACCACTGGGTGGGTGCAGAAGTTCGCACCTGCCACCCCAGTGACCAAAGGAAGTGCGGATGGAAAGAATGGGAAGATCTCAGCGCAGGCCAGCCTGACTCAAAGCAAGACCCTCCCCTGAAAATAACCAACGCAGAAAGGCGCGTGTGCGCAGGCCAGGGGTAGAGTGCCTACTTAGCAAGCCCAAGGGCTGGAGTTCAGACTGCTGCTGTCAGCAACTCAAAAGGATGACACTATTTGTGACACACACACACGGGCCACCGTCAGCTCACATTCCACGCTGAGCCCCTCAGGCAGCAGACCGGCCACACCACGGGTGCCCTGAGGAGGCTCCGCGCCAGGCCGGGCAACTCTGAGAGGCTTTTGTTAACCTTACCTGTTCTGCAGAAAGGGGGTGCGGGGAGATGCACAGGGCAGGGCGCGGGAGGGCGGGGCGCGGGAGGGCGGGCCGCGGGAGGGCGGGGCGCGGGAGGGCGGGGCGCGGGAGGGCGGGGCGCGGGAGGGCGGGCCGCGGGAGGGCGGGGCGCGGGAGGGCGGGGCGCGGGAGGGCGGGGCGCGGGAGGGCAGGGCACCGAGGGCGGGGCGCGGGAGCTCAGGGCTGCCTCCCTCAGTGGCTACACCCACACCAGCTTCCTACAGGACGGCTGCCGGCAGGTGCGGGAGGGCCGTGGGACCCTGGCCTCCCTGAGCTGGCCAGGTGACAGCAGAGAGGGCCAGCCACCCCGAGCCCCCATTCAGGCCTGTTAGCTTGTCACAACCCCTGTGCCCTGTGCAGCAGGGACAGTGAGTCATGTCTGGGAGGGGCAGCTCGGAGCTGGCTCTGAATGGACATGGGGGAGGGGCAGCTCGGAGCTGGCTCTGAATGGACATGGGGGAGGGGCAGCTCGGAGCTGGCTCTGAATGGACATGGGGGAGGGGCAGCTCGGAGCTGGCTCTGAATGGACATGGGGAGGGGGAGGGGCAGCTTGGTGTGGCTCTGAATAGACATGGTGTGTGCTCCCCACAACAGGCCGGGGAGTCCCCTGGGAGTGCTCACCACAACAGGCCGGGGAGCCCCTGGGAGTGCTCCCCACAACAGGCCGGGGAGCCCCTGGGAGTGCTCCCCACAACAGGCCGGGGAGCCCCTGGGAGTGCTCCCCACAGGCCGGGGAGTCCCTGGGAGTGCTCCCCACAACACGCTGGGGAGCCCCTGGGAGTGCTCCCCACAATAGGCCAGGGAGTCCCTGGGAGTGCTCCCCACAATAGGCCGGGGAGTCCCTGGGAGTGCTCCCCACAGGCCGGGGAGCCCCTGGGAGTGCTCCCCACAGGCCAGGGAGCCCCTGGGAGTGCTTCCCACAACAGGCCGGGGAGTCCCTGGGAGTGCTTCCCACAACAGGCCGGGGAGTCCCTGGGAGTGCTCCCCACAGGCCAGGGAGCCCCTGGGAGTGCTCCCCACAACAGGCCGGGGAGTCCCTGGGAGTGCTTCCCACAACAGGCCGGGGAGTCCCTGGGAGTGCTTCCCACAATAGGCCAGGGAGTCCCTGGGAGTGCTTCCCACAACAGGCACACACAGACAAGTGGGTGGGAACAGCAAATTGTCACAACTTCAGCAGAAGACCAAGACACCAGGTAAGAAATAAAGAGAAAAGGAGCAAAGTCAAGGAGATGACATCTATCTGTCCGCTGCGTTTCCCTGTGCAGACAGCACAGGAGACCGGGAGTCTCCATTAGGACTCCATTAGCTGGGCTCCAGAACTGCACGCCAGAACCAGAGTTGAGGCTCTACACTAGAACTGGAGTTGGGGTCCCGTGTTGGAACTGGGAGCTAGAACTGGGACACCACACTGGGCTGGGATTGGGGTTCCACACACTGTTACCTGAGTTCTGAGTTTGATCATATCAGCCTCCATCTGGGAATTGGATTCATTTAGCTCCTTGATTTCTTCGTCTAACTGTTTGATTTCTTCATCGTTCTCGATTCCTGTAACAGCAAGATGAGCGTGTCATCACAGTCATGCCTGAATGCGCAGGAGCTAGGATTTTGTGTTTTCTTCTTGAGTTTTCCTCGTCCTTTTGATGTTTTGTATTGAACTTGTTTAGGAAATATTCCCTCGAATGAACGAAAAGGTAGGATGAACAATCTTCATGTCTTCTGGGCTTGTGGGAGCCTCCAAGACACCGAGAGAGAGGGAGGGAGACCTGAGCCAGAAGCTGGCGCTGGCAGGCTGGGCCCCGGTTCACAGCCAGGTGGGAAGCTCCAGGCCTGCCCTTTGACCCTGGCCTGCTGCCCGGTGGTGGGAGCTCTGTGCTCAGCCCTGCCTCCCCCCTCCCCCAGTAGGTCCGCCCGGGTCTCATCCACACCACGCTCCGGACCCAAGCAGGGTTGAACCTGACTGCTGGGTGGTCGAGTGGGCAGGGCAGGCAGGCCCAGCCTCCTGGCCAGCCCAGGCCCACGACAGGGCCCGTATGGACGGAGGGGCCCGGCAGCTCCGTGGCTGCTGAGCTGTGGTGGCCGCAGAGCCCTGCGCCTGAGGACGGTGGCAGTCCCTTCTGCCTGTGGTCTTGTGGCCTTGTGAGCAGGTTGCTCACAGAAGGAAGGAGGGGCTGTGACAGCTCCTTCCGTTCCGTGGAGATGGAGATGGAGAGAGCACTGGCAGCTTGGCCCGGCAGGGCTGTGGTGAGCCCACTGCGGCTTGGCAGCTCGGCCCGGCAGGGCCGGGGTAAGCCTGACGCATCCCAGCAGCTCAGCCTGGCAGGGCCGTGGTGAGCCCGACACAGCCCGGCAGCTCAGCGTTCCTTCAGGGCACTAGCATGCACAGAGCCCTGGCTTTCTTTTTGGTGTGTGTGTGTGCGTGCGTGTGGCCTCTGGGTACCTTGCTCTTGTCAGCTGACCAACAATTCATTGTGTACCATGGGTGTGTGTATCTGATTAAACTCCCCCGGTGCATGTCTTTTGCTCATGGATTGACCCTGCACAGCACCAGAGGAAAGCGCATCTGGCGCTCTTGGTTTCCTCCACGAGCTACGTCACAGCTGCTTAACCTCAGGAGCCTAGACAGTGTGGACTGCCGTGACGAGGGGCCTCTTCTCACAAGATGCAAAGGGTGTTGCTAAACGGACCACGTGAGCAAGGCTGCTCACAGTGGGAGAGCGGATGCTGGAGCTCGGAGCATCGCCCGGTTCTGAGTGGAACTGGAACCAGAGCCTCAGCAGGGAACAGCCCTGGATAACCACAGAAGTGCTACAAGCTGGTGCTGTGGCATTGGAGTCATGCCCGGGGCCTGCTCACAGTGCATTGTCTTTCCAGACCTTTGGTTCTCTCTTAACTTCGCATAAGGGAAACAGGTGACAGCAGCACAGACACCTGGAAGTTGCTTTCCTTTGCAAAGGAATTCAGTAAATCAGGCACTGGGCGAACTGGGGGTGCTGAGAGGTGAGAGGTCGGGGGGGAGATCTGGGGAGAGTGCAGTGTGTGTGTGTGTGTGCGCGCACACGTGCATGTGCTTGTGAGCACTGGAAGCCTCTCCTGGCCAGGGCCTGGGTCTGAGGGCGCCAGCAGGAAAGGGGGCACCATGGGTGTCAGGAGCAGCCGCCCAGCCCTGGAGACCCTGTGGGCTGTGGGTCATGGCAGGCTGGGCCACTCGGGTTCTGCCGCGTGGTTACCATTGCTGGCCCGCTGCTTGATCGTCAGCATCTGCTCTCCAGACAGCTTGGCCTTCTTCATGGCTGACGTGGCCCTTGGACACCCCGACAAGCTGCGGAAGGACAGAAGGTGGCCGTTAGCACTGAGGACCCGCTGGCTTCCGCCAACACTCAACAAGATCAAGAAGACAATCAAGAGGAGGCCCCGGCAGGGACCCCTCGGACCCATCCCCGGTGCGTGGTCCGGGAGAGGACCAACTCCTGACCAGGCCCAGCAACATGGTGTCTGACGCTGCCATCTGGGCAGCTGTCCTGGTTCTCCTGCCTGGCTGTTGGCTGAGCCTCTCTATGCTCTGCCTGCCCATGGCCCTCTACCTCCGGGCTTTCTTTCCTGCCCAGCCCTGTTCACCTCACTGCCTGACTCACACAGAGCTGTGCAGACCATGGCGGTCCTGCTCCAGGAAGCCGCCTGCCTGGTCCTGTGGTGCAGCCATCCCAGGCTCCTTCTCCCCAATGGGGATCCGGCCCTACCCATCCCCCTGCCAGCTCAGGCCGCAAGGTGGGCACACTGCTAGCTGTCAGTGGTTCTGGCGTTTGTGTCAGTGACACTGCGTGAAGTAGCACGCTCCTTCAGCAGCTCTGCCCCGAGAGCTGTGAGTGCTGTCAGGGCAGACCCGCATTCCTCTTCAGATTTCAAAGCTGTTGGGTGGTAGAGATCACCAACACTCCCAGGGCGCGTGCTGTCCAGGCTGGGGCTCCCTTCTTGGGAACACAAGTTACTTAGGGTCTAGAACCTTCAGGACAAAGCTGAGATGGGCTCCGGAATCACACTGTGCCATGTTGTCTTCCTCTGTAAGATTGGCTGAAAACCAAACCAAAGCTTCCTCCTGGTCCTAGAGGTGGGGTTGTGTTAAGATGTGCTGTGCTGGTTCCAGTGGGTACTGGAGACAGGGTTGTGCTGTGCTGGTTCCAGTGGGTACTGGAGACAGGGTTGTGCTGTGCTGGTTCCAGTGGGTACTGGAGACAGAGTTGTGCTGTGCTGGTTCTCCTAGGTACTGGAGACAGGGTTGTGCTGTGCTGGTTCCAGTGGGTACTGGAGACAGGGTTGTGCTGCGCTGGTTCCAGTGGGTACTGGAGACAGGGTTGTGCTGTGCTGGTTCCAGTGGGTACAGGAGACAGGGTTGTGCTGTGCTGGTTCCAGTGGGTACTGGAGACAGGGTTGTGCTGTGCTGGTTCTCGTGGGTAGTGGAGACAGGGTTGTGCTGTGCTGGTTCCAGTGGGTACAGGAGACAGGGTTGTGCTGTGCTGGTTCTCGTGGGTAGTGGAGACAGGGTTGTGCTGTGCTGGTTCCAGTGGGTACTGGAGACAGGGTTGTGCTGTGCTGGTTCCAGTGGGTACTGGAGACAGGGTTGTGCTGTGCTGGTTCTACTGGGTACTGGAGACAGAGTTGTGCTGTGCTGGTTCTCCTAGGTACTGGAGACAGGGTTATGCTGTGCTGGTTCTCCTGGGTACTGGAGACAGGGTTGTGCTGTGCTGGTTCTCCTGGGTACTGGAGACAGGGTTGTGCTGTGCTGGTTCCAGTGGGTACTGGAGACAGGGTTGTGCTGTGCTGGTTCCAGGGGGTACTGGAGACAGGGTTGTGCTGTGCTGGTTTACACTTTCAGACGGCAAGCCTGCCAGCTGGGATGACCAACAGGGTTGTCATGGGAGGAGAACCAGGCTTGAGTGGGTTTGGGGAACTAAATTAGGAAACAAAGGCAGACCCGGAGAATGATGTGTTCCGCTCAGACGCGCCTCCCTGGGCTCCGTCCATTCCAGTCTGGTGAGTACATCGTCTCGTGGGTCAAATTTGGAAGTGAACCCCGCGGGTCCTTGTTCAGGCCTGGGCGGCGGCGGGTCTCCCTGAAGACACTGCCAGCTGGCAGTGGCCTGCGGCTCCCTTCGTGCTGCCCAGCAGCGTGGAGCGGGGTGGGGAGGAGTGGGGGGGAAGATCTGCCCTCACCACCTCCCCCAGGGAGGGAGCCAGGGCCCGCTTCTCTCAGAGGTGACGTGTGCTTCAGCCTGTGGACTGATCTCAAGGCTGGGAAGCGGTTAACAGCTCCCCCTCTCCCAGCCCGGACGTCTGGCACCAGGCACCGTGGCAGGAATTCAAGAGCAGGAGCAGCCAGGGCTTTGGTGGCTGCCCAGGGAGGGCTGGAGGCCCAGGTTTGATCAGGCTGTCAGCCCAGAGGGGCTTTTCCTGGAGAACACTGGCGGGAGACAGCCGGCCTGGTCAGCTTCCCGGGGTGGACCGGAGGACGGCCGCTCGTTGAGAGGAAAGAGCTCGGCCGTGTGGAACAGCGCACCGAGCAGACTGGGGTCCGGGCGAGGGGAGGCCCTGGTCAGAGCCCAGGAGCCCGCAGGAGCCCGCAGGAGCCCGCAGGAGCCTGCAGGAGCCCGCAGGAGCCCGCAGGAGCCTGCAGGAGCAGGCCGCGGCCGTGCCCAGGCGGGCTCCTGGTCCGGCCCACGCAGAGCCGGCTCTGTCCTCTGGCGTCCTCGGGAGCTGGGCCTCCTCTGAGCTGTGGCTCACCTTCCTGCACTTGCAGCTTCCTCGTGGTGTCCTCATGCGATGGTGTCCTCGGCGCACCATCACACAGCAGGGCCCTGCTGGCACTATCCACGCCGAGTCATCTCCATCAGAGACTGGCGGAGGGCAGCGAGCACTTGTCCATAAGTGAACACTGCCACAAGAAGAGAACACCGCTTCCCCAGTGGCCTTCTCATGGGTGAAGTCCCCATGGTGGGGGGGGCAGAGGAGCCCGGAGGGAACTCCTGCCCCGCCCGGGGCCCCGCCCCGCCCTGGGGGCCCTGCCCTGCTCTGGGGGCCCTGTCCCGCTGGGAGGGGGCCCTGCCCCACTGGGAGGGGGCCCTGTCCCGCTGAGAGGGGGCCCTGTCCCGCTGGGGGGGGCCCTGTCCCGCTGGGGGGGGCCCTGCCCCACCCCAGGGCCCCCACCCAGTCCATCCTGACGTGACCCCTTCTTGGTCTAGTACCATAATCCAGAGGATTTTCTAACCCCCACAAGTCTGTGCACAGCTGGGAGCCCTAGTACCACAGGGAGAGAGATGTTTCTAGAACAGTGTTGAAAAGCCACTGATGGAGTCTGAAGAGCTGAAACAAGCTATATCAATGGCCCAACATGGCTCAAAAATCATGATTTCAGACTAACTTGGCAGCAAGGTCCGTTCCCAGAGTGCTCAGCTTGGAGTGTCATCACAGAAACCTGGCCCCGAGTTCCAAATCTGCCACGGGCTCCCGAGGTGAGGCCACGGGCTCCCGGCGGGTCCGGTGTGGGAGGTGGCATCGTGGCTCCCGGCGGGTCCGGTGTGGGAGGTGGCATCGTGGCTCCCGGCGGGTCCGGTGTGGGACGTGGCATCGTGGCTCCCGGTGGGTCCGGTGTGGGAGGTGGCATCGTGGCTCCCGGCGGGTCCGGTGTGGGACGTGGCATCGTGGCTCCCGGCGGGTCTGGTGTGGGAGGTGGTACTCTCTGCATGGGGCTGGGTGTTGGTGTGAGTTTATCAAGGACCCTGCACCCGGTGACACACACACGGCTCGGGATCTCCAGGGCAGTGTGCACAGCTGAGGCATGCTGCGTGGCCTCCCGCGCCCCGGACGTGTCCAGGCCCCAGGCCGGGCCTCCCCACTGGCAGCACCAGGTCACAAAGTGTCTCTCAAAGCTGGAGACAACAGGGCCGCATGCAGCTCCGAGGTTGGCATGGGCCCAGATCAGTTCTGAAGCTGCTACGCTCAGCGGTGAACAGCCAACCCCCTGGGAGGTGCATGGTTTGTGCCCAAGGCAGGACTAGCGTAAGTTCTATCAGACTATCTCAAGACCAAAACCCAAACACCCTTCTAGGAAGCAGGCTGCAAGGAGACATTTTAAGCGTGGTCTTGTGGGCACTGAATGTCCTATCGGATCCTTTCCTCAGCAGTGTCCCTGCAGCACTTGCATGCGGCGGGAAAGCTGGACCAAGTGGGTCAGTTGGAATGCTGGGCCACCTGGGCCAGGACCTCGGGGGCAGGCGTGTTCCTGCACTCAGGGGGTCATCGTGGGCCCCGGGGTGGGTGAGGGACACAGGACTTTCAACAGGATTTGGGGGCTAGGAAGGTGGCTCAGTGGTAGAGCGCTTGCCTTGCATGCCTGAGGCCCTGGGTTCGATTCCTCAGCACCACATAAGCAAAAAGAAAAAAGCCGGAAGTGGCGCTGTGGCTCACGTGGTAGAGTGCTAGCCTTGAGCTGAAGAGCTGAGGGGCAGCGCCCAGGCCCAGGGTTCAGGCCCCACGACTGACCAAAACAAAACAACAGGATTTTGCCCTCAAGGTGCTTGTGTCTCATGACAGCCACCGACTCCTATTTTTTATGGCGGCCTCATTTCCACAAGGCCATCTACACCGCGGTGTGGCTACATTCTCAGGGGCAGCCTTGGCATGGGGGCCAGAGCTGAACACCAGGATCTTGATTTTGGGTGTGATCTGGGTCGAGTGATCCTGGAGCTGTGAAGGAGGGCCAGGGGCCTGAACGGGGTCAGACTTCCCTGCAGGGACCCAGCAGGAGGGAGCATTTGGTGAGGCCTGCTGGGAGAAGGGGGGGACATTTTCTGCTGGAAGACTCACACCTGTGGCCCCGCGCCTGCACCGCTGGTGGCATTGGCCCCTATGCTCACATGGTCTTTTGACCTTAAATCGGTATCAGCTGAAATCAAACAACTTGGCTGGCTCTCTTTCCCCAGACCCAAATTTTAAGGGCCCAGAGGCTTCTGAGCCTGAGGATGGGCATCCGGCCTGCAGGTCTGGGGTCTCTTGGCTCCATAGGGAGGCCATGGTGGCCATGGTGACGATGGCTTGCCCTTGAGCCCTTGAGACTGATTCCAAGCAGAGAGGCTCCTCCCCTCAAATAGCAGCAGGCTGGGCTCATTAAAGACCACACGGGGGATGCGGTAGTGGAGCCTTCATAGATGGCATCTCGCTCACGCTGTCAGATGTCGGATCCAGCCCACTAGGTGTTTTCTCTGCTTCAGGCAGGGCTTTCAGAGTGGGCAGTGCTCCACTGTGGGGCAGCAATATTTCCAGATGTTC